AATCATAGTCATGTTTTTGCTTGTGCACTTAAATGTATCCACACAAAATCTATATTTCCTTTTTTTTTTTTTTTTTGGGCTATATCCCAGTTGATATATATTGAGCTCCTGCTCATTTAATTGTTTTGGATACTGAGTTTTGATTTTACAAATACTTGGATTGCCATTGAGTATTCGGTGGGTGCTACTTTGATTTAGCTGTCAAGGTGTTTTACATAATGCCTCAAAGAACTTGTGTCGGTACTAGGGTGTCCAAGTTGCAGAGATTGCAAAATATGGCCTTCAAATATAAGGGAGAATCATAAGCTTATGACAATATACTAAAAGCTGAAACAATGTATAAAACAACTACTCCGTATATCGTTTTAGCGAACTGTCAAAAATTACAACAATGCTCGTGAACACCTAATGAATGTAAATCAACTTTGATGAGCTTTTGGTTTGTTTCTTGTTTACTTGTTTAAAAGAAGACACAATTAGCTTGTTTATTAGTTTAAAAGGAAAAATGTTTATCCATTGCATGCCAAAAGCAAGAGGGTTGAGATCATATATTGAGATAAATTATGATTTGTGATTATACAAGGAGGGCTTAGGCACTGTAGTATAGCATCTAGATTGTATAGAATTGAAATTTGAATTTGGTCAGCTCAGCAGTGGCATTCTTTTTCTTATGTTTGTTATTACTTTTATTATTATAATTGAAATTTGAGTTAAATATGTGTAATTCAAGCACTTCACAGTTAAAAAAGCATCAAGAGTGCACTGCAAAAATTATACGGAACAGTCACCTTTCCTGATTCTATATATTGCACATCCCTTATATATATATATATATATATATATATATATATATATATATGTTTGTGTGTGTACTTATCTTGCAAGAAAAAGGGTAAGATGGTAATTTCATTATTATCCTTTCCCTTCTTTTCTCTCCCTTTTGTTATCCAAACAACAATATTGTCAGTTCCTTTCTTTTCTATCCTATCTACCCAAACATGAATATAAATTATAGTTATCCTTTCCATTATTTTTTTTTTCTTTTCTCTTATAATCCTTTCCTTTCTTTTCTCTCCTGTGTATCCAAACGAAGCCCAAAGGTTGAGCATGAATTGAGTTGAAGCTGGCACGGTAACTTAGGTTTTGTTTTGGACTTGGAGTCCAGAAGAGCTTGCTGTCTGTTTTCGTGGTTGTAGATACAGTTTTTGAATCCATGGAGGCTTATAAGAGATGGGTTAGGGGGAACAAGGAGTATGTACATTCGTTGGAGTCTCTGGCTAATGTAAGCCTCCTTAATCTTATACTTTCGTCAGCTACTTTCATTAATCTGTCTGAACCAAATGTGTATGAACATTTTCTATACAGTTTCTTGTTTGTTTTGGTTGTTGAAGTTGTTCTATATTATGGTTTTGGCTTGTGCTTGTTTATAACATATATGGTTGATTAGAATAGAGATAATATGTGAGGAACAAATATGAACCGTGTTTGAATATAAATTTACTGTAATCTCATTTGGGTACTGCCAATTATGGCCTACGAAGAGCAAACTAATGTGCATCTGTTGAAGTGATTGGCTGCTACATTTCCAACTACTTGTAATTTGATTATCATTTTGATTCTTGGCAATAAGAATTGAACTCTACCCCCACCACACCCTTTAAATTCCGTACAGGCTCTTTTCCATCTTGTTCCAATGGCTGATGAATATGTAATCAATTTAATTTTGTATACAAGTTCTTGGTTATTTTAATTGTCAGGTTTTATGTTTTAGAAAGATTGATTGTCTCCTCTTGTAAAGTAGCTTGGCAATTGGAGAAAAGTAGAGATAAAAACTAACTTGAACTGTGCTATTTAATGTTGACTGACATGTTGCCCAAGGTTGCTATTTACTTTTTTTTTTTTTTTTTTTGGGGGGGGGGGGGGGGGGGGGGGGGGGGGGGGGTGGGTGTGTTGAGGCCTGGGCTTATTTGATTGCTGTGATGTTTGCATAGTGTGCTTCACCCATATCATAGATGGTACCTGAACATCAGAGTTGGTGAAAATCTGAAATAAGTAATTAGGAACTGTGGTTGTTTGTAGTTTCTTTTTTGATTGTTAGGGTATTTCTTTTATGGGTGTCCATCTTGTAAATTTTTGCTCCTTGAAAATAGACTAATATTGATTTGTGTTAGAAATTTTAACAATGTTTTCTCATATGAGCTCTGAAAATTACTGTTCAGGGATTGACATGGCTTCTTCCAGAACGGTTTTCTGAATCAGAAATAGGACCAGAAGCAGGTTTTGTGAATTTTTGGTAACATTTGGATTCTACTTTTTACGTATAAACTGCAACTTCAGAGGGTCTTGTTTCTCTTTTCAAGTACACCTTTGTTTGATCACTTGAGAAAGTTACTGAAGAGTGGAATGTAAATTTTTTAATCTAATTTTTACTTTTTCTTCATTTCCAACAAATGTATATCTAAACTACACCAAGTCAAATTCTGTTTTTCGAGCTTGGTTGAGTTGAGGTTTTTTTTTTTTTTTTGGTTCTTTCAGGTTTCATAAATGATTATAGAGGATAATATTCAATATTTTATATTTTTTCTATTCTACACCGTTTTCTTCCTACCCAAGATCTTTTAGTGTTATACCCTATCCAAATTTAGAAGCCTTGTTTCCAATTTTCCATGCAATGTTGAATGATGTTCTGAGTTAACATATTTTTAATCCTTCTGCAGTAACTGCAATTTTGGGCATAATCACAGCTGTCAACGAACATATAATTGATACGACCCCAACCCAAATACATACAGGATCTTCACAGCCATCTTCCTTCCCTTATTCCTTATGCATAACTTTACTTAAAGACTTGGAAACATTGGTGGAAGTTGTGGCACAGCATTTCTATGGTGATGATAAAAAATGGAATTTCATTGCTGTTACAGAGTTTACCAAGTAAGCAACATATTTAATTCAGTCTATGCCCCATCTTATCATTCACAGCTGGTGTTTTTGTACTTGTATTTGTAAATTTGTCTTAAATTTTGGGTATTCAATTTCATTCAGGGTATTCAATTTCATTTAGTTAGGCTAGCCTTGTTCCAGAACAGTGGATACAAGATGCTTTTGCATGGAGGAGAGATACCAAATGTTGAAAAGAGTTCAGATGCTTTAAATCCCCACCATAGATTTGGACATTTAGCAAAGCCTGGATGGAATCAGGGGCCTGGTAATTTAAAGAATTATCATGGGCAGAATCCTTGGAATCTTGAAGGAAGGGCAATGTCTGCCTTGAGTAGGTTCGGGGAAAATGCTAGGATGGTTTCTGAACCAACATGGTTGCCCAGGGTTCAACACCAGCAAGCAATCATGGAGCCTTTGTGTAATTTTTCTCCTAAAACTCTGTTCTAGATTGAGGAAATTAATTAATTTTATGGGATAAATTTTGCTGACGTATGCTATAATCTCATTACAGCTTCGGTTGTTCAAAGACCTACCCTTCCCACTTTCTTGTCTGAAACGGGTGTTCTTGGGGGCTTATTTATGATGGGGGAGGTGATGTTCATCACAACGCCACTTATCTATGTTTTACTGATAAGGAATTATGGAATTCGATCATGGTTTCCTTGGTTTGTATCCTTGGCTGTGGACCTTGTCGGAGTGGGCATTCTTTCCCAAATTACAATGTCAGGGCATAGAAAGAAAGACCAACAGTTTCATCTTTCCAGCTCCGAAAAGGATGAGGTTAGAGTTATACAGATTTTCACATGGTTAACGTTTTGATGCATCTTTTACATTGGAGGAGTGAGGGTCACTTTTGCCCTCGTATGTCATTTTCCTCTGTTCTTTATTCTTTTCTTTTCCTTGTATTTGTAACTGAGCCTCGGAAGGATTTGTTGTCCTGATGATTTGTGCTTTCTCTATTATTTTTTATTGTTATTTTTTAAATGACTTTTTGTTGTCCTGATGACTTGTTTTTTTTATGGAAAGAGGGGGATAAATATACTTATAAAAATAAAAAATAAAAAAAGAAGAAGGGGATAAATACAATTTTGAAAGGAAGAGTGTTGGACAGAATCGGTCCAAGAACCAAGACTCATTTTGAAAGTGTCCAGGTCATCAATCTTCAGCATGAGTTTGGATATCCACTGAATTTGTAAATAAGATTGTTTTGATTACTGAAGCTGTAAATGATTGATCCAGTTGATGGGTATAATACAGGTGAAAAGGCGGCGGCTGTTGTGGGCACTTTACCTCATGAGGGATCCATTCTTTAGCAAGTATACCCGGTAATGATGCAGTTCTCAAGTCAATTCCTGATTTACGAAGTTTCTTTGTTTAGATTCCAAAAGAAGAAAAGAAAAGGGTAACAGTAAAAGAGATACTAAGGCACTAATGTTTTAAAATCGTTACAGGCAAAAACTTGAAAGAACTGAAAAACTATTAGAGCCTGTTCCTATTGTTGGCTTTCTTACAGGTTTGTTTCGTATATTATTTTAAAATTAAATTCTCTCATCACCTTCCAACTATACTTTATTCAAAACTGATTCTGCTTCTTGTCTTTAACATGTACTCCCAATGAGCAGCAAAAATTATCGGGCTTATCATTGGAGCTCAGACACGTTACACTTACATGTCAGGTTCATGAGATGAAAGCTGCATGCTTGCACCTTTTTGGTGAAGTATTTCTCCAATTTTTTTTTCCTTGGTGTATTTCTCTTATTTTAGGAATAATTACTTGTTTTCATTTTCGCAGCATTCTTAATTCGAGATTCAAATACAAATATCAAATGGCTGTATCAAATTTTGTTAATATCCATGGTTAAATTAATGTGCACCTGAGATTAATGTTTTAATCAAATGCATTTTTCCTTGTAATAATACCATGGCATGGATAAGAATGCATAGCTGTTGATATTTGCTTCTTTTTTCTTTTTTAAAGTTCTTGCGGTTAGCTTTACGTATTTAAATGTCATACAAACTCGCGCACATGTTCACATATTTGTGCTTGGTGGTTGTAGGATAGGGATTCTTAGAAGTCGTGATAATCATTAATTATTAGCTTCAGCTGATGGAATACATCGTGATGCCTCACTTTTGTGCTTCCATAAGGCTTTCTCTTTTAGACATTAGAATTAAATTGAGTTGTTTAAGGTAGAAAGAACTCTAATAAATGGATAGAGACGGAGCATTATGAGATTTGGCACAGGCACACAATTGGTCGCAGAACTTGTGAGCTCTCCTCTAAAATCCATTTATTTTAATTTTCTTTTCTCTGTATTAAATATGGATGTATGCCCCTTTTCTCTGGGCTGTTTTCCAATAAAAACACATTGACTCATTATTTACTTTTAATGTCAAGATAAACCTATGGTGCATAAGAATTGTGGTATTATGTTCCTAGCATACTCCTTTTTATGTAAAATTCAGTCTAGCTAAGCTAGTTAATGAAGTCAAAAATTGAAACATACATTCAGGAAATGGACCCAAAATTATATTGCTCTCTTCCGGAAGAACAGCTTTTTCCTTTTACATGTGACAAGATCACCCCTATAAAGAAGAAATTTGAAAAAAGAAATTGATGGAAAACTATTTTCATCCAATAAAATAAAGCAATTGAAACCCATTAAAAACCATTTGCAGTATAAATCTGCTCTAAATTTAACAAATGGTGTATTTTCATAGAGCTGGAATTGCCATATGTATTATGTGTGTGTATTTTATCAAGAGAGAGTATATAGTCTGTAATGTTGGCAAGTATTGAATACCTTGATTTACTGGGGTAAAAAAGGTATTGAATACTATTTACTTGTTTATTCAGCACTTGAAAAACATGACTTGTAAGTGAGAAGCTGAGAATGGTACACAACTTTAGCAGTCTAGTGCAGTGCATATTTTCTAAACTGATTTAATGCAGTACAGCTTTGCCATTGCTTGGTGTAACAGTGAAAATGTTTTGAGTTTGAGAACAGCAGCATGTTTTATTGATGCATCCTTGTGGCTTGTGGTGTTTTACCTTATATTTACTTCTGCTTGTCCTATGCATAATAAATTCACATCCATTTAGTAATTTTTGACAGATATCATTAGCAGAGTCTCGGGAACAATTTATAATATATTCCACATTCTTCTTCTACATTACATGCTAAAAGTATTGTTAATTTCTTCTCTGCACAGTGAATGTTTCAAGTTCTTAGGGATCTGAATACTTCATCAGTTCACCCTGAACTTTGGTCGTCCCACTCGAACTAGGTGAGGTTGGGATGGTCCAAATAGTTTACCAGGTTCAGTAGTTTCTTTATGAGGATTTAATCTGCATGCTAAGTGTAGGGTTACAATTTTTTTGATGTTCTTGTATAACAAATTCTTTGTTGCACCTTTGTGGACTTGTATAGGCTAGTCAGAAATTTCACTTGATAGAACTTTCGTCAATGGGAAAGAAAATAATTAAAAAGGTGATGTGCTTTATATATTCATGCCTATAAAATTCTCATTACTGCATTAGCGAAGACTGAGGAGTGAGATGCTTTAGGGAGGCTGAGGATGATGTGTGTTGAGGTTAGTGAGAAAAGACATGGCTTACGGTTTGAGAAACATTGCCATTTGGCTCTCTTGTGGAATGATTATATATATATATATAGATAGAGCTCATATTGTTTTAAATGTGAATGCATGAGCAAATGGAATCTCCAATCTTCTTATAGAATATTACAATCATTTTGTATTTGATGCAGGAATTGCTGTACCTATATGGATTTGTCATTGATAATAACCCAGATGATTATCTCATGGTAATTTATTTATATGAAACATTTAGCATGTCCACTTCTCATCTATACTCTCTTGTGACCTGATTTTAACTTCTAATAATGATATTATTTCGAGTAACTTGATAAAACCATTTATTGGTTATTTGCGAATCATGTTCTGTAATTCTGCCTAATTATTTAGATTAAGAATATACTATTAGCTCATGAGTCAACTTATAATAGTGTTATAAAACCCAGACACTTGGATATGTGCAAATTAAATCCATTAACTTTACAGGTTCATTATCCAATAGATGCTATTCAGAGAGTTCCCTTTTCGGAGTCCAAAGTACAGCTTATTGAAGCACAGGTCAGCAATTGTATTTTGTAATTATGTCATGAATTATACATTGTTTTGATTAATAAATACTATTTCCAGCTTATTTGTCTACTTCTTAGGTAGATTGATGCAAGTTTAGTTGCTCACAATATTGTTTTTGTGCGTAAATTATTTATATGTATGTAAGTTTGTACATTATCACGCGTCCTTGTGCATTTTTGTATTACAATTTGTTGTTACAAATTTATGTGTATTTAATTTATTGACAAGAGTGATCAGTGTCACAGAAAGCTGAGATGAGGTGTCTTTTACCTAGAAGTTTGCTAGATCAGGGTTTTTTCCCAGCATCCACTCCACAGAAAGAAAACAAGGATAAGTATGGAACCAGTCAGGTTTGCAACTATAGTTGGAGTGGTCAACGCAAGATGCCCTCTTACTTGAATAAACTTGTTTTTCCTGAGGATTTCTTAACTGCCTTGAGGACCAAAGCCATGCAAGAAGACGAGTTATATCAGGTTTCATCATTACTTGAGGAGGTTTGGCTTCTCTTGATTATACTTTTTTCCCCTCTGAATAATTGGCCGTTTAAATTACTTTCAGCTTGGTGAATGTTCATTTATGTTTTTCAATATTTTTAAGTTATTTGTGTTAGTATCAAAGTAGTGAATGGGTTCTTCTTATTAAAGATCAAAAAGACGATTCTTAATATAAAATAAGTTGCTGATGAAGTGGTAAAAATCAAAGATAATTTCTAATATAAGTTGAGTTAAAGAACCCAAATACATGTGGGCAAAAATTGCATGTAAAGGGACTTTGCTTTACTGGATGCTTAAGAGTCGTTGTTATTACCGTTAGTTGTTTCTGATCAGGGGAGATTAAAACTGTACTAGTTGAAAATTAAGCACGTACAATGGTTTACATTAAATATGATGGGATATGTATCAGCGATACTCAGGAAAATGTTAGTCAAATGAGCTAAACTTGACCATTTTTTCCCCCAAGTATTCTTTATTTATCTCAGCATTGAGACTTGTTCAAGGACTGTGGATATTTTACATGATATTTATTTACAATCAGACTTATCCTAAAGTCTATTATTACAAATAATTATAAAGTTGTCAGGGCTTAACCTTCCATATTTATAAAGGAAAAAATACCTGGAAAGTTCTTAATGAAATGATAGGTTTCATATTTATTAAGGGATCAAGGTTTCAAGTTACCTGTTCTTATTCTGTTAGTAGTCATTTGATCCATTCCAGCAGGATATGTATTGTATTTTGTTAAAAAGGTCCTTGGTTTCACATCAAAGCAGAACACCAATAGTTAGTCTGGTTTGAACTTTAAATTGTTTACCTTTTTCCGGTTCCTTGACCTCTAATTGAATATATATATATTTTTCTCCAAGCTTGTTGGTGCTGGAGGGGATAGGCAACCATCAGATGCAGAAGTTCGAGCTGCAATATGGGAGGCTTGTGGGGATTCCGGAGCTTTGCAACTGCTCGTTGATCTTCTTAATACCAAGTAACCTCTGGAATCTAGCTTACTGGATTCTCAATACCAAGTTAACAGTGCTGATGTAAAATTTACATTTTTATTTCAAATTTGCATGACTCTAGGATGCCATTGTTTCTTATATTATCTTAATAAAAGAAAAGTTTCTAGTTGGAGTATCTGTATGACTCTATCATTTACTTGAAATTTTTGAGTTTTACTTGAACTTGGTTCAGAAGAATTTTCTTTTTTTTTTTTTTCCTCCTTTTTTTTTGGTAATTCATTCCTATTAAAATTTTGTTTGGGTACTTCTATCAAGTTTAAAACCTTGGTTCTGAAACTATTATGGTCAGTTTGGAAAGTTGGCATAATTTGTTTGGGAAATAGCATCATGTTTGAGTTTAAACTGTGTCCATAAATTGCCCTTGGGGTGCGAATTGAGTAACCTGAACATTTTATATGGCATGATTAAGTATAGACTGAAACAATTCTGGCATGTACACATTTCCATTTTTTGTTTTTAAAATTTGGAATCTTGAATGTTATACCCAGATCGTTTTTGCATTAAAGAACCATAATCTCATGCCCTGATAATTCTGTTACCCCTTGTTAATTCTACTTGTTGAGGATTCTACTTATGTTAGTTCCAAACATGTCTGCTTTTGTTTCAATCAATTTTCCTTTGTATGCTGTATTGAGTAAAGTTGGGTTCTCTTTAGACTTGTCTATGAAGCCTAGACTAGCAATATCAGTCCGTCTGCCGTCCTTTTTTCTTTGGTGGTTGTTGTTGTTGTTGTGTGTGTAGATAAGTTAGATATAACCCCTCTCCTCCTTTTGGGGTAGACTGCGAGGACGTACTTTAGTTATTTATTTTGCTGTAACGTAACAGTTTGGTTTTTGAGAACCGTGTAGGTAAATTGTTTGCTTTCATTTAAAAAAAAAAAAAAAAAAAGCAACGTTCTCCTCTGTTTTAATATCATCTTTTTAGAACTCCTCAACTTTTTGTTCATATCTCTTTTGGTGGGATTAGTGTGCTTAACTTGAATATGATTCTCAGTATAAATAGCCCTCAAGCTTGACCACGATAAAAGGGTTATATTGTTTTCTAGATTTAGTTAGAACTCGTATTATCTCATATAAAATTGCTACAAAACATTTTATATTTGCTGCCTAACTGAATTTTATGTGTACTAGAATGATGGATCTCGAAGAGTGGTCTGGGGCAGAGGACTGTGACACTGAATGTAACGACCCACTCCACCACATGGTATGATATTATCCGCTTTGGACCTGAACCCGCACGGTTTTGCTCTTGGGCTTCATCCCAAAAGGCCTCGTACCAATTGGAGGTGACACACTTACATATAAGCACTTCACCTTTCCTCTACCCAGGCGATGTGGGACTTGTGCACCCGTAACTCGCCAATGTGGTAGCCTGACAGTTTTTCTTGCACCCGCCCATAAGGTCATCACAATCTACCCCCCTTGGAGGCCCGACGTCCCTGTCGGCACACTTCCGGCTGGGTCAGGCTCTGATACCATTTGTAACGACCTACTCCACCACATGGTATGATATTATCCGCTTTGGACCTGAACCCACACGGTTTTGTTCTTGAGATTCACCCCAAAAGGCCTCGTACCAATTGGAGGTGACACACTTACATATAAGCACTTCACCTTTCCTCTACCCAGGCGATGTGGGACTTGTGCACCCGTAGCTCGCCAATGTGGTAGCCTGACAGCGTTTCTTGCACCCGCCCACGGCACACCCGTCCACAAGGTCATCACAATGAACTACTTGAGAAGGCCTGCTGCACCAAAATTCCAAAAGATTGCAAGAGGTACAAAAAGTATAAGCTTACAAAACATTAACTAAGTTAAACTATGGTGTGCCTCTCAGTGTGTGTTTGGACAGTTGTGAGATCCAAAATATTTTCTTATAAGTGCAGGCTCATTGCAAATGCAATAATATTACATGACAAAATAATGTTATACAATATGACTCATTTCAAATAGTATGTAAAATAAAATGTGTCGCATTCTTTATGGCATTGAACTTTTGTTAGTTACTTTGCTACAAACTAATTACAAACTCGGCTCATATTTTAGCCTCTTGTTAGCTTATGTACTTCAAAGTTTAACAAAAAGAAAAAATAAAGAAAGAAAAAATAAAAAAGAGAAAACCAACTCGCATACTTGTCTTGTTTCTTTGCTTGGACTAACTGAAATTTTTGTTAGTTTACCATCTTTTCCATCACTGAGCAATGTTTTTATTTTCCTGGAAGGTATCATTGAGCATTGTTTCATCTCATTTTCAACCATAAAATGTTCGTGCACATGTTGGAATTTTATTAATTAAGGATTGTCTTGTTCTGTTTTGGACTGCCCAACAGAGAGACAATGGTTCAGTTCAGCACCAGTTGTTGAGTAGAAACAGGTGGTGTAGCATAGTATATCGACAAGGGCAAAAGCGACTTACCCATCTTTTCCTGAAGGAAGCAGAGCATGCCTTGCAATTAGCCTTGAGTGAGGGCAACTGATCATCTATGGTAGGCTTGTTTTATTTCATTCATAAGTTATGTAGATTTGGATTTTATTTTATCTTTTTGGTCGGTTTGTTGTTGATATATATATATTTGCCATATACTTGTAGAAGTTGCGAAATTTTCAAGGATTCGAGTAGAAAGAGAGTTAACATTCAGTTCCCTTTTTTCATAGTGATTTTTCTATTCTATTCTCCTGTGTGATTCCGGAGCAATTTGGGCTTGATACAAATCACACCCTCACTTTATGAGATCTTAATCAATTTGTGTTTATATATAGTATATAAACTTTTATCTATATAATATTACAATCTCAATAGTTTAATTTTTTAGTCTAGAAGTAGGATGTCCATAGCAACATTGTTGAATATCAGATTTGAAGTACCACCAACACTAGGCTATGAGAAAGTATTGATTTCCTTTAAGTACCACCAGGCTACCAAAAAGTACTTAAAATATGGTAACTAGGTACCGGAGTATTGAAAATTTAAACTACTGCCTTGGAATTATGTTTGTTTTCTTACCTGACATGTTTTTAATATTAATTCGTGTAGGTGTTTATAATTTTGTGAAACTATTATACAGGTTTCCAACCACATTTGGAAATCTTACTGATAACAACCTCTTGGAAGTTGGAACTATCTAAATGTAACTTGGCCTCAAATTTGTCAAATTAGATTACATATATATATAACATACATTTGCAAAAAGCATGTGCATCCTCCAAAACACATTGACACATTTCTGAGTCTTTAACAAAAGATAGTTATAGATTAGTTTGGGAGGTACATTACCAAGTTCACATCAGTCTTGTAAGCTAGCTACATTCCTCAGTGTCCACCCAATGATATAGGCGGCGGCGGCAGCAGCAGCAGCACCATTGGTGAGGGTGATCACAGCGGATAACACATAGTTCTGACGACCAATCTTGGCCTTGGCTATCCCGAGTAGTGCAAGGGCCAATGCAGATGGTATGCACGCACCGATGAACTTGTGCGTGTCATTGTGGGTGAATGGTTTGAGAATGATGAAAGAGAGAAGAGGTGCACTTCCAAACACAAGAAAAGCCGCAAAGGTGACGAGGCCGTTCTTCCACGCCTTCTCTTCCTGCTCCAGCGGTGGCATTCCTTTCAGAGTCGCCATCTTCTCATCCACCAATATGTCCTTATACTTGGCAAATATGTTCACCACCTTGCAACAAGTAATATATTTTCAGTGTGTAGAATATACCTTATATGACACAACACTTGGTATCCTCGGGGAAATTGGAGGATCATACCGTGGTCGTGGTCGCATCATGGACATCCATTCCAAGAGCTTGATACCGCCGGATTAACTCCAGTTGCTGGGGCTCAGGCTCAGAGAGGCTGCCACGTCCTTCTCAGTGCTGGTTCACACCAAACCCCATTGATATACCATCAGCAACCAGATTCGCAAACCCAAGGACCAACACATCAACTGCAATCAAAAGCCAGTCCATTCAATTTTAGGTGGTCAAAGTGTGCAAATGTGGTAGAGCTCAGTTTAAGATATTAGTGAAAGTATACAAATCACACAAGAAGCCGGAGAAAGCATTTTGCGTTTGTACAATACAACAGTAATTGGGTTTCTGCATGCACTGACCCAACCACGTATTACCACTCCGATGCTAGTATCTTACAACAGTTTTCACTACTTATAGCTAGTGATAATAAAGGCCTGAGGTTCTTGGTGGTGAAAAAAAACAAAAAAAGGGACTAATAAGTGTCTTGTGTCACCTTGCTTGTGCTTGTGCTTTACACGTGTTGAACTCACCTTCGTGTCTTGACTTTTTGTTTTTTTCCCACTTTAGTCAAACTGATGTACTTAGTTTACACGTGTAATGACAGAGCGTATGGCTTGCACACATCATCGAGACTATATTGTTAGAGCCGTGGCCGGGAAATTTATTAGATAGGCGTGGTTTATAAGTATGCGTGTTCAATGAATAGTGAAAAAAATACCTTTCGTAAAAAATTGGTTTGTTTTACAAAGTAGAGAGACATTTGGTAAATAGTGATTAAAAATTAAAATACTGATTTGATATTTTTATATGTTTTTGTATTATAAGGTTTGGTATTAGAATCTGACCCAGTCGGAAGTGTGCGACGTTGGGCCTCCAAGGAGGTGGATTGTGATGACCTTGTGGACGGGTACAAGAGACACTGACAGGCTACCACACTAGTGAGCTACGGGTGCACAAGTCCCACATCTCCCGGGAGAGGGAAAGGTAAAGTGGTTATATGTAGGTGTGTCACTTCAATTGGTATGAGACCTTTTGGGATAAAGCTCAAGAACAAAACTGTGCGGACTCATGTTCAAAGCGAACAATATCATACCATATGGTGGAGTGGGTCTACGATTAGGGATGAATTATTATTATTTTTATAAAAAAAAAATAAATTAAATGACATTTTTTAAGTTAATTATTATATTTTTTAAACTTGTGATACTTTTTTACTGAACGCATTTTTATGTTTTTACTTTCAAAATTTTTATAATAAATGAACATTACTAAACATGTATTTAATTACTATATAAAACATTTTATAATAAAACATCTATTTTGTTTTAAGTTAAAACAAATACCAAATAAAATATAGTGTCATAAAAAAAATAAAAATAAAATTGATGCCTTCTTAGAAACAAATTGCTAAACGGTAACATAGAAATATTAATTTTAGAGAGAGAAAAATAATATTAGAGAGAACGATGTCCTTAGATAAGTCTTCAGGTACATCCAAATAACCATTCAATGTTCAAATATATACACAATTGATAAGGGCATTCTTGGAACAATGCTTACCTTAAGCCGTCTAAGAAGGAACTTCTATTTTATTATGAGGTGGCCTAATAAAATATCAACAGGTGTTTAAGTTTTAAAAGAAAAAAAAAAAAAAAAATGATTATTACAGCCAATAGAAACTTACACTTCCCTCTTTCTCTCTTAAACAGTCATATATATTATTTATGTGTTTTGAATTTAAAATCAAACATTATTCTGGAAAGAAAAAAAATTACACACACCACATATTATAAAAGGTGGGAGAATGACCCTATGCCTATACTGGCTCTATCACGAATGATGATGTTCCCTCTCTCAAATACAGAATTACATGTTATATATATAATGTATGAATGACACATTATACCAAATTAAATAATTTTTTCGATAGAAAAATCTAATAGATCCATTTTTATTGTTTTTATTTGGTGATAATCATCTTTAAACAATTAAATTTGGATGAGAAGTTTGTAATTAGATACAAAAGAAAAAAAGATGAATATAGAATGTTTTGAAATTTAGGAGAGATTGGGATGAGAAAAGAAAAGGAAAGGCAAAAAAAAAAGAAAGGAAGATGAACATAAAAAGTTTTAAAATTTATATATAAGCGAGAAAAAAAAAAAAAAAAATTTTAATTTCTATATCAACAAAAAAACAAAGAAAAAAAATATACGTGGCTAATAAATAGAGTGCCAGTCTTTCACGATTTGAAAATGAATTCATGATATTATTGATATATATCATTTTTCATGAATATATGGTGATACTTTCATACATGACTGAAAGATGCCGATAGTCATCATTATATATATTTTCTCCAGAATAATATTTGATTTTAGATTCAAAATATATAAATTATATATATCATTGCATTCAAAATATATAAATTATATATATCACTGCATGAGAGAGAAAGAGGGAAGGGTTAGTTTCTATTGCCTGTAGTCATTATTTTTTTTATTATTTATTTATTTTTTTTAACTTAAACACTTTGATATTTTATTAGACCACCTCATCATAAGAAGGAGGTTCTTTTCTTATGCGGCCTAAGGATACCAAATTCTCTCAATAGTGGGTCATGCTATTAATTCCATTTCTTCCAAATTTTCATAAATAGTGCACCCCACACCATATATATAAATATATATATAGTAATTATTATAATTTTTATTTTAGATAGATAAAAGCTTGTAAAAATATAATAATAATAATAATAATAATTAAATAAACACTTAAAATATAAAAAATATACAATCAATGCAAAAGACAACCCGTAACATACAATTTTGCCACTAAAATATTTCTTTCAACCTTAAAATCAGTCAAGTTCACTACAATAAATACCACATAACAAAGAACAACCAAAAGGTCACACATGGAGCAGACTTCTCTCAAGGTGATTTTCCTGGCCATCCTCTTGGTCTTGGCCACAGCATCCGGTTAGTCTCTCTCTCTCTCTCACTCACTCACACACACACACACACACGCTAATGTGACACGAGATGACTTATATATGTTTTGTAGGTTTGGTGCTCTCAACTGTCCTTGAACCTGAAGAAGGGGTAACAGAGCAATGGAACCAAATTGAATCTGAATCTGATCCGGGAGCTGGAGGAGGCGACTATTGTCCTCCTCCTTGCAAAATCAGTTGTCATGGACTGCCAGGGTACTGCGCATGCGTTTGCTAGCACTAGTCCATTAACTAGTGTGGAATAATGAAGTTCCTTATATAAGCTGAGCTTTGTCTACCATTGAAATATTAAATGATCTACATTTCGAGTTCTATCTTATTATTATTATTATTTTTTTCAGAAAGTTTATTATTATTATTACTATTATTATTATGGTTAATTTCATAAAACTCTCCTTACTTTCTAATTTTGATCATAAATTATTTCCAGTCCAACCCGTTTACCGGCTGTGAAATAACAAATTTAACCTTATTATTTAATGTTAAATTTAAAACTAAAAATTATAATTTTTTAAATTACAAAAATAATTTAGAAAGAGGGGTGAGTTTGAGAGAGCAGGGTGAAGAAGATAATTAAAGGGTATTTTTGTAATTAAAAAAATTATGTTTAATTTTCAATTTAACATTAAATAGTAAGGTTAAATTTGACATTTCATAGCCGGGTTAACGGGTCGGATACAAATATTAAACAGGTTGAGAGTTCATAACCAATTTGGACAAAAAAAAAAAAAAAAAGTATTCCGTAATTGGGCTATGAATACCTTAAGTCTCTTATTATAATTATTATTATTTATTTTTTAAAATAGCAGACATTCATCAGATAAAATTTGTGGATATACAAACCTCTCTAGAGCTTCTGCGTGAAAGTAACTAAAATTTCCAGATTTTGTTGGACTGTGAATTGTCTATTGCTTGCATAGTTTGCATTACATAATCAGATTAAGTTTCAGAGGACTGAGACTGTCATCAATTGATTACGATCTGATACTCAATTTACATAGGCCTAGGATAATTAAATTATTCCTTCTAAATATGGTTGGAAAATAAAGGAAACCCTAATTCGAAATTGACAAATTGAGATAAAATTATTATTAATTCAATAGTTTTAATTCAAAAAGCATAGATATACTCTGTACATATGAAGCTCTTAATCTGCTAAATTTCAAATGGTTTATGCGTAGATATACTCTCTGTATATATATGTATATATATACATATACTTATGTATATGTATATATATATATATATATATATATATATATACATACACGTATTTACAAATAGCTTGTAATAAGTAGGGTTAAGTGCAAAAAATCCCCCTCTACTATTGATATAGTGTTATCGGTCTCTGTGTGGTAAAAAAACCCAAACCCCTTACTATATATCAATTTGGTGCAAATAAATTCTTATGTGGTGTAAAATGACGATAATACTCTCATTTCAGTTAAATAAATTAATAACTATAAATATAGGTCATGTAAAATGACCTTTTTACCCACTTATAAAAAAAAGAAAAGAAAATTTTGAGCGCCGCTAACCCTTGTAGCCAAATAAGGGTACTTGCACTTATAAAAAAAAGAAAAGAAAATTTTGAGCGCCGCTAACCCTTGTAGCCAAATAAGGGTACTTGTGCCTAATATATATATATATATATATGTATATATATATATATAAGATATATTATATATATGTCTCCGTGAAGGGGAAAGTACTACAGCTACGGGGACGGCGATGAGGATCGGCCGGCGACGGAGGAACGGGGATGAGCTCGGCTGGTTCAGGTGGTGGTGGAAACGGAGGCTTCCGTCTTCAAAGCCTTCGAGAGACCCCACGGTGGCTGGTCTTCGAAACGGGGAACAAGAATTTCGATGGCGGTAAAGAGGACGGCGACTCACGAGGAAAAGGAGGCTGTTGCTAATGAGCAAGGCAGTGCTCGGTGAGGAGGCCGGATCCCACAGTGAGCACTGATTTTCGACGCTTACGATGTTGATGAAGAAGGTGGTCTCTGTATTGCCCGCCGTTAACAAAGATGGTGCTATGTCCGGTGAAGTTGTGTTGTCTGGCGCCGGTGAAGGTGAAGGGACCGTAGGTGGCGAGACGGCGGCGACAAGATGAATTGATACGGTGGCGGCGGCGAGATCAGCGGTGGAACCACGAGAAAGGGGTTCGTATTACTTTTCACCCACTTTTCCATAAGAAGCCGATC